CATGTGTAACCCCTCGTCCCTGGGAACCTGCCAGCACTGGGGTGGGTCGCTGTGACTCGGTGTCTGTGAAGAAATCAGCCCTGGTAGGGTCTCAGTGGAGGAGAGCGTTGGGCCATGGGGGTCTCCCCGCAGCACCCGGGGGTCCCTGCACCGCTGGGGCTGGAGCAGCACCCCCCGCCCGCCCTGCAGGGCTTGCAAACCACAGCCAAAATTAATAGCAAGAAGAAAAGAGGCACGTGTCCCCCATTGAGCTTAGCTGGCGAACCTGACTCGAACGCTGAATCGCTAACGATCTCCTCTTTCTTCCTCCAGACATTAAATACATAGAGATGACGCCAGGCAGAGCCACGGGTCCTGAGCTGCTGCAGGGCTCCCCCAGCCCTTCGGGCACGCCGTCCCCAAGGTCCCCCCAGGGCAACGGCTTCGTGCCCCAAAAAGGGGGACTCAGAAGCAACTACAGCACCGGTGGCAGTGTGGTTTTCTCAAGCCCACCCAGATCCGTGAGCCCCGGCTCGGGCGCCCTGAGCTGCGCGGACTCCCCGACCTGCAGCAAAGCGCCCGAGGGCATCGCCGGCCCCCGGCACTGCACGGCCGGCCAGATGGACAGCATCTCCTATGGCCCCGGGGCTCTCGGCACCTCCACGGGCATCGACAATTTGCTGAAGCCCGTGCACGTGGTGAGGGTACAGCAGAGGAGCAGCTGGGTCTCCCTGCTCTCCACGAGCCCTGGCTCCGACACCAGTTACATCCTTGGAAGGTAAATGCCGCCTTGTGTCCCAGTCCGGGGCGGGTGATGGGGGTGGAAGGGGCACAGGGTGGTTTCCCCACATCCTGCTGTCCAAGACCTCCTTCCTCCGGCTGGGAGTCAGTGCCCCGTGGGGCTGGCGCGGTCTCTGGGGTGGGCTGTGCATCCCGTCTGGGCTGAACAACCCCGCTGAGCTCCTTCTGCTCTGTCTCCCTCCTGCAGCAGCACCCCGCCGCCTCGGATGCTCCCCGCGCTGCCTGCCGCTCTGCCGACTGCCCGTCCCCTGCCAGCTCCCTGGGCAGCCCCTGCCCACCTTCCCCGAGCGTCAGGTCTCACTCTGGAGAAGCCTTTGGGCTGAGTCCCCACCAGCCCAGCGCAGCCTGCTCCACCAAAGCCAACACCTCCCCATCCCAGAAGGGACAGGCCAGCAGCTCCCCCCCCTCCATCCTCAACTCCGCAGCCGACATCCCGGTGCTGCTGGTGAACGGGTGCCTGGAACCAGGAGATGCGTCTTCCAGGCTGGCCACAGCGCCCCCAGCCTCGGTCAAGCAGAGCCCCCCTCCCAGCTGCAGCCCGACCTCCAGGCTCGATGGCCTGAACAACGCGCTGTCGGCACCAGCGCTCTCCTGCGACTCGGACAGTAAGTCACCTCCCTGCCACAGGGTCTGGGGGGGGCGAGGAGCTGTGGGGCCCGACGGCTGCCAGGGAAGAGGGAGCGAACACCAGTTTGTACTCTGGTTTATCTGTGGGTTATAGACATGGAGGAGAGGAGGTCCTCGCTGGAGCTGGAGATCCTCAGCGTATCTCCACAGGGCTCTGTGGTGGTCTCCAGCTCGTTGCTGATGACCCTGTGTTAGCCATGGTGGTGTGCCCACCAGCGTCCTGGGGCACGTGCTCAGTGAGCAGAAAGGCTCTGGTCCCCTCAGGGAGATGCAGATACACTTATTTATAGTACCCGAGAATGAGGACGACAATTCTGTCGTTTCATACTTGTTTGTGGACCCAGAGCGGGTGGGGAGGAGGGGTTAGGGTTCCAGTTTGCTCTGGAGGACATCTAAAGATACCAGAGTTTATAAGGTCCCTCATTCAAGGGTAAACAATAGGGCTGTTGTTCTCTGGAGGAGATTAGCAGAGGCAGCTCTCGGGGCAGAAGGTTTTAATTGGGATTCTTATGGGAATAGCAGGAGGGCTTTGCGGGTCAGATCCTCGGCGGGTGTAAGTCCCCATGGTCCAGTGGACTTGTGCAGGGTTGGGCAGACTGGCACTGCCGGGGGATTCCGCGTGCTGCTGCTCTGTGCTCCATCACAGCCTGCCAAGAGAGATAATTACGTGGAGAATGAATCATTCTGAGGAGCAGGGAGGAAGCTCTGATCAAAAGGGTTGGAAAAAACCTTCAAGCCCGGCCAGCCTGAAAGAGAAACATTTTGCTAGAGCTCTGTCCTGCCCAGGGATGTCTGCCCTGAAGGTCCTTCGGGTCCCACGCTGGCCTTGATGCCATGAGGTCTCTTGCAGGTCCCCTCAGGGCTGGGCAGCCGACCATGAAGTTTGTGATGGACACGTCGAAATACTGGTTCAAGCCGAGCATAACCAGGGACCGAGGTAAGGCAGCAAGTGTCTCCGCGGGGATAACCCCACCTCGGGCTTGCCGTCTGCAGGACTGCCGCCTGTCCCCAGGCCGGCGTTCGCCTCCCCGCACACCTCCATCGCTCTCGCCCGCGCTGAAGTCCTGCGGGGACTCGGTGATGGCAACGCAGAGTGTACCGGGGGTTGACGGGCACAAAGAGACCCACTCCCAGGTCTCGGGGAAGGCTCAGGAACACGGGCTGTGCCACAGCCCCTCTGTCCCACCCTCAGGTCCAGCAAAGCTTCTCCTGCCTCTGACCGTGCTGCCGCTCGGCATGGCCCGGCCGGGGCTGGCTCTGTCCTGGGGACAGCAGGGACCTGTGGGACCGAGCCGGGGCCCCTCGGTCTGCAGGGACACGGCAGCCGGTACCCGCACGAGGGACGTGCGCGTCCTCGGCAAACGCTCCTGATGATTTCTCGCTGCTGCCAAGGAACGTCTCCCCGCGAGAGCATCCGCCGGACGCAGAACGCCACGCGGGGAGGTTCCACCTGTTTTGCTTGGCTGATCCTCCGCCTGTGCTTTGACAGCCATCCAGCTGCTGAAGGACAAGGAGCCAGGCACGTTCGTGGTGCGGGACAGCACGTCGTACCGGGGGTCTTTTGGGCTGGCGATGAAGGTTCCTGTCCCTCCAGCCGGCAGCCAGACAGGTACGGGGACGCGCTGGGAAAGGTGGAGTTTGCTTCAGGGGTTTCACTGAAACCGGTGAGACTAAAGCAAGCTGAGAGGCCACAGGACTCGGGTTGTGCGAGAGAGGCCGGCAGCGGGGTCCGCGCCTGCCCGTCCCCATGCACGGGGGCCGGCACTGCTCTCGCCACGCAGCGCAGAAGCTGCGGTGGGTGCCCCGGGACGGGGCCACAGGGCGGACAGGGGCGAAACAACGATGCTGACACTTGTCCTCCATCCCGCTTGCAGGCGATGAGAGCAGTGACCTCGTCCGGCACTTCCTCATCGAGTCCTCTGCCAAAGGGGTGCACTTGAAAGGAGCCAGCGAGGAGCTGTATTTCGGTAAGGACGGCGCCATCGCCCTCGGCCCCTGGAAGCAGTGGCCAGGAGCAATTCCCAAAAGCCCCTGGAAGCAGCGGCCAGGAGCGGGGTGGCCCTGCAGTGCCCCGCTGAGGGTGTTGGCGTGGGGGACCGCCAGCCCCCCGCTGCTCTGCCGGGCCGGCTGTGAGGGTGGTCTCCAAAACAAGAACATGGGGTGGGGGTTGGAAAACCCACTTTTGCTGCTGTGAGATCCCAAATAGTCCAGCTCAGCCCCCCCTGCCCTCCTTCTGAGGTCCCTGGGACACCTGAGGGGGCAGAGGTGCGCAGGTGGGGGGTTTGGGCACCAGAACCCCCCCTGACATGCGGTTCTGTGTTACAGGGAGCCTCTCTGCCTTCGTGTACCAGCACGCCATCACCGCGCTGGCACTGCCCTGCAAGCTCAGCATCCCCACCCGAGGTAGGTGTCGGTGGTGGGAGAGATGCTCCGAGTGGTCCCTTCGGCCGGTCTGGGGAGGTGGGGACGGTCTTGCAGAGGGGAGGGGACAAACCGCCCCGGTGCTGCCACGATGGGGCCGATTGCCCCGGCTGTAGGTGGAGCGGGGACCTGCAAGAGCTGACCGGAGCGCGAGAGACGGTGGTGACTCCCTCCTGCTGGGGATGGAGGGCGGTCGGCAGAGCAGCGGGGAGCAGGGGACCACGGGGGGTGGGCAAGGAGAGGAGGAGTGGGGAGATCGGAGATGAACGGAGCCAGGAGAGGGAGATGGAGGACCATTAAATCAATTACTGCTCTAAACCCCTGCAACTGAAGTGGCTTTTGGGCCTCTCGTGAGAGAAGGAATTTCCCCCAGTGCAAAGTGGTGACCCAGAGCAGCCTGAGCTGTGGCCTCAGTGCTCCCGCTTGTCGTTTGTGCAGATCTTGCTGATGGAGAAGATAGCCCTGACTGCGCCGCGGAGTCCGCGCTGTCCCCGCTGAAGAAAACTGCTGGTGAGGAGCGGAGCGGGCTGCTGTCACCGGGGCACAGGCGGGCTGGCAGGAGCTAGAGCTCTGGGCAGGCGCCCGGGCTTTGGGCCTTAGTCCTGTCCAACACCAGGCTCCATTTTTCGGTCGTCCGCCCTGACACCGTTCACAGCAGCAGCTGAAAAGCCGGTGCTGCCTTTGGCGCTGTGCAAAGCAGCGGGTCACCCCGCTGCACCGGTGGGTGCTGGTGCGATGTCCCCCTCCCGGCTTTGTCACCAAGGTTGGAGGTACCTGCAGGTTTTCTTCACGTCCTCAGATCACGGGCTTGTAAGGGAAACGGATATTTTTTAAAGAAAGGAGACTTTTGGTCCTCGCAATGGTGAAGTAAAGCTTGGGAAGGCAGTTCCTGAGGTCCCAAGGCTGGTAAAAGACCCACAGTTTTAAATAGCTCTTGGTTTTTAAGCTTCTCTCCTGATTGGGCTCAACCAGGGTATTGAACTGATGGGCACGGAACATCTGGAGTCTCTCGGAGAGGGATGGGCAGCCCGGGGCTGGGTAAATTGCTGAGGGACCTGATGGGAGACCGATGGAAACGGCCCAGCGGGACGGGGAAGGGTCTCTGCTTCTCTTCCGTGCCCGGTGCCCCCAGCCTGGGTGCAGCGGTGGGTGGGCTCCAGGTGAGAGCGGAGAGCGATGGGCAGGAGAGCGCGCGCATGGGTCACGGCGCAGTCAGGGGAGTCGGGAACCGCTTTGTTTTGCTGGAAATTCTGAAAAATAAGTTGGCAAGCTGAAAAGTTTAGTTTGACCCAGAACAGCCCTTTAAACAGCTCAATCAGCCTGAAATGTCATGTTTTAGGTTGGCTTTCAGCTGTTAGTTGGCTTGGGGTATTTCTGCTTTTCATTAAAGGAAATATGTAATAAACAGAAAAAAACCCTAAATCTGACATTTAGAAACCGGAAATTAAATACTTTGACTTTTAAAACAATTAGTGCAAAGAATTAAAGTAAACCAAAATAAATTTGCGAAGGATTTCTGAGTCACCAAATCTTTAATTTTCATCAAAACAAATCTGACCCACGTACACGTGTCCGGTTCGGCAGGATGACGCCTGGGACCCGGTCCCAGCCCCGGCCCCGCTGTGCTCGGTGCTGCACGTGCTCGGCGCAGCAAGACGCCGGCGTGCTGCGGGCTGCCGCGCTGAGCCGGGCTCTGCGCTGTCTTTGCAGTCTGCAACGTCTTGTACCTCAACTCGGTGAACGTGGAGACGCTGACGGGAGCGCCGGCCATCCAGAAAGCCATCTCCTCCACCTTCGAGCTGGAGACGCTGCCCACACCCACCCTGGTGCACTTCAGAGTGACGGAGCAGGGGGTGACGCTGACCGACGTCCAGAGGAAGTACGAGCCGCGGGGGAGGGTCGGGACGGGGCTGCCACGGGCTCAGCGGGGGCGAGGGGCAGGGGAGAGCTGAAGGGTGATGGGAACGCAGCTCGCCCGTGGCCGCCCAGCTCTCGTCTTGCCTCTCAGCCTGCCAACGCGCTGATCACGTCAGGAACAACTGGCCTGCCGGGGCAAATCCGCGTTGCAATCCAGGGATGGGCTTGGTCCCTTCTGTCACAGCACAGGGCACGGTGCCGCTTGGCGTGAGGCGCGTGGCAACATCTGGGGAGCGCGAGGCAGGAGCCGGCCGAGCCCAAGAGCTGCCAGCTTGGAGGCAGCACCACCGAGGGGACCCCCACGTCCCCCTCCCCCCGCAGCCACAACGCCTCCAGCAGGGCTGGAACCCCCTGGGTGTCTCCCCCCAGCTCTGCCCGGGCACTGTCCTCCTCTAACGCCACGCTCTCCTCCTCCCCCCAGGGTGTTCTTCAGGCGACACTACCCCTTGGCTGCCGTCAGGTTTTGCGGGATGGACCCTGAGAACAGAAAGTGAGTTATCGGCCGCTCTGCGGACTGCGGTGGTGGCTTCCCCACGGTTCCCAGCACGGCTCCGCTGCTCACGGCTCCGCACCGCTTAAAATCCCAACTCCCGACCCGTCTGCAGCCCCCGCCCCAGGCTTAACGCGCCGGGTTTAGCTAAATATAAACCTGACGGAATGAGTTAAATATCGCTCTTCTGAGCAAATCCAATTCTGTTCTTCCCTCAGGTGGCAGAAGTACTGCAAGTCCTCGAGGTGAGACCTGCGTGGTGGAAACCTGAGGGGGAGATGCTGCTTTGGCCCAGCCTCGCCTCCCCAGCGGGCGCCTTGCAAAGCTGCAAGGAACCAAAGCCTAAAAATGAAGAGGGGATGCGAGAAAAGTTAACGTGGGGGCAGGATGAGACGTGGGACAGATGGGTGAAGCTTTACGGGGGGGTTTGCTCTGTGCTTTTGATGAGAGGTTTGGCAAAGCCCAATTCGCAGCATCCCCTCATGCAGAAAGCGCCGGCCGGAGGCCGTCGGCCGTCCCAGGGACGCGCTGGCGCTGGGCTCAGGAAGGGAGGTTAGATCTGGCTCTACCTTCTGTTCGAGAAACTTTTCACAGCTGGGGAAGCTTTGCCAGAAACACTTCTCCCGGCTGTTTTGCTTCCAAGTAAACGTGATTGGGGAGCGGGCCAAGGTGGAATTGCTGGAACCGGGATTCTGCTTTGTGGCCGGGGCTAGTTTAAGCGTCTTCCTTCGGGTTCCTGGATGCAAACCACCTAAGGCTCTCTCTCCTTTTCCAAAGGATCTTCGGGTTCGTGGCCAAAAGCCAGACAGATTCGGAGAACCTCTGTCACCTGTTTGCAGAGTATGACACTGTGCAGCCAGTGTCGCTTGTCATCGACCTTCTCTGCAAGCTCCTGCCGGGCCCGTAGAGGACAGAAACCCCGGGACAGCTCAGGGCTGGCAGCTGCCCACGCGCTGCCGACCTTCTCCTGCTCACCCCTTCCTGCCCCTGGGTTGCATTTTGGCAACAGCTCGTATTTATATTTTTTTGTTACATACCGACAAGTCAAGAGGCTCATTTAAAGATTTTTATGTTCTGATGGGATGAGATGTTCCTCCGAGACCCTCCGCGGGGCACAGCACGCCATCGCCACTGTGGCCAGTGCGGGACGGCTGCCCGCGGGGAGCGGAGCTGCAGGACGGGAACTGTGCTCACCGTACGGAGCCGCTGCCTCCCTCACTGGCCGTGCACCCTTCGCTGTGCTCGGGAGGACTGAAATACTCTGGCCGAGATTTCAGCCGGCAGCGGGGGTTGCCTGTGCCCGGGATGGCCAAGCCGAGGCGCGGTCGGTGGAGCTGAGCTCAGGGACGCAGCCCGAACCCCCCCAGTGCCGCGGGAGGGGATGTCTGGTGCAGGCGGGGGGGGCTCCCCTCCCCGACGATAGACCAGCACCGGTGGGAAGCTTTGCAAATCAGAGTGTATAAAATCACTAGGCCCTGCTGAAAAATCCTGCTTCCCTCCAAGAGCAAGAAGCACCGAAAAGCAGAAATGTCGGGGCAGCGCGGTTTTGCCTGGTGCTGGTAAATTCTCCTGCCCTTTTTCGCAAAGCGGGGTTACGGGCTCGCTCAACCTCGCGGCATCGCAGCAAGCTGAGAAATAAATGTTGACATTTTCATGACAGTAAAGCGTCGGTTTTTTGGAAATGACTTGCATGAATTTGGGCCAGATCCTCAGATGACGTAAATTGGCGCAGCCTCGTGGAAGTCAGCGCTGCCGTGATTTACACCAGCTGAAGATTTCGCTCTTGCTGCAATCTCAGAGCGGAGCAGAGCGGCTGCGAGTCCCCCACACAGCCCTCTCCCTTAGTGCTCGCTTACCTGCTGCCTCTACCTTGGTTTAATTTTGGCCCCCGTGCTAACAAACCCCGCTCAGGGGGATTTCCAATAAAGCAGTTGACCGCTTGTCTCACCGCGAGTGCTGCGGAGGTGTCAGCATCTGAAAGACGCTACTCCGCTCTCTCGACCCGCCGAGCCTGTGCGCGCACATAAAGGAAAAGTGGCTCTCCCCCAGCGGGCGGCGGGACGGCGTCCAGCTGCATCAGCGCTTTGGCGGCGATAAAAACAGATATTGGAGTTACTGCAGGGGGCGGGGGGAGCACCCGGCTCCAGGACGAGAAACGAACAGCTTCGTGCCCCCCGGTCTGTCCGCCCAAAGCTCTGCTCAGCCGAAACCCAGCACCCACCCCGGGCTCTGCGTGCCGCTGCCGGCCCCGTCGTGCGGCCGGGCCCCGGGGGACTGTGGCGCCCCAAGGTGACGGGCAGCTCGGGGGGACGCGGCTCAGCCCCAACGCCCCGGGCTTGCGCATCCCCAACCCTGCAGGGACCCCCAGCCCCCGCGGGGCGCGCAGGATGCGACCCGCCGCAGTGCGCGCTGCA